GAAGGAGTTATGGTTGATGAGCCTAACTGGATGGTGAAATTTATTTATTTAGAATTGAAATAATATTTTATTTAGGATTGATTTAATAATAATAATTTATTTAGAATTGAAATAATATTTTACAATATTACTGCAAACTTGGTGAAAGTAAACATGCATAAAAATACATAAAATAAATATATAAATAAATAAAATATGTGTGTGCACGTCTGGTTGCTCTAGAGAGACTGTCACTGTAATATGTGTTCTGTAAATGGCTGTTGATAAAAGCATCATGGGGCTTAAGCTAGTTAAGAAGTCTTGTGGAGCCACCAGGACTCCATCATCTCACGCTGGGGTCCAGCTATGGTCTTTTGAACAGGCTTTGCCCAGAGTGAAGGTTGGAGAGCATGTCGTATTCAGAAATGACAACTGTGTGGGCGTGATGCTTCATAGCTTTTGCTTTAAAGAATATTATTCTCCCTTTCATTCCCTCTCCCTTCATCCACATCCGCAGTCACTCACAGATATGAGCGAGCTGAGGGAAAACAGTTTTTCTCACAGATAAAAGCAGAGTGTGTGTCAGAGAGAAAAGGTCTGCGTCAGTGAGCGATGGACGCTTGTGAGAGAGAGAGTTGTAAATGGGCAGTGTTTAACAGCAGTCTTCAGACAAGCTGCTTGTCACATGTGTGTCTTTAATAGCAAGGGCTGTTCACAGTGGATGTGGCCCCCTGATGCTAATGACTGTGGACAGGTGATTTTAAGAATACACCAAAAAGCTTTTCCCTCAATTTTCAGGGGCTGACGAGAGACGGGTCGTTCGACTCTTTGTGGGTTCACTTGCCTAGGTGGCATAGGGCACGTATGGCAGTGAGTGGGCAGATTCATAAGTCGCAACCTCCCCTGATCGCGTTTGGAAATACTAATGCATCTGAGGCGGGGTGACAGGGGTCAGGTGGCTGCTGCATGGGACCATTAATTGAGTTTAAATTAGAGGGGCTTCTGAATGCAGAGGTACACAGATGCTGCGTGGAGTGATTTAATGGTTCCCACACACAGCTGTTATGCCTCGGTGCTCTCACTGTCTGTCACTCTCTGCGTGTGTGTGCGTTTGTTTGTGTGTGTGGCTGTTTAGTATATAGAGGTAGTGAGTGAACTTGCCAAGAAAGTCTGAACTTTGATTGCGTCTCTTGTCTTTTTTAAGATGTATTGTTTGTAAATCATTCACATGGTAGTCAGATGCCTCTTGCTGAAAATGCAGAGCCACATCTAAAGCTATTGTGGTTGCTGCCAGGTCCATGCTAAGGATTCTGGGCTAATGGTACAGTCAAGAAAATGAGGTAATTTCATGCTATATGAAATGGGGCTTTTAAAGGCTGAAGCTTTCGTTGGGCTGCCCAGTGGCGTAAGGAGTGTTTATTCTGAAGGGTTTTGGACTTACTAATGCTTCTGTTTACCTAGAATTCATGTACAGGCTGTATTTAAGGATGAGATAAGCGATCATTTAAAATGTTTTTTGCAACCTTATTTTAAAATATGTATGTAAATGTGTGTAATGTATATAAATATGTATATAAATCCTGAAAGAAAAAAAGGTATCATGGTTTCTACAAAATAATAAGCAGCACAACTGTTAATAATAAGAAATGTTTCTTGAGCTCCAAATCTCAGCATATTAGAATGATTTCTGAAGGATCATGTGACACTGAAGACTGGAGTGATGACTGCTGAAAATTCAGCTTGATCATCACACCAAGTTACACTTTAAAATATAATTAATTTGAATTAGATCTAGATTATGATTTATTCACGTTAGTTTAAGCACCACCTGTGGAATAAATCAACTGTACAACTGTCTGTTGCATAGGCTCCACTTTAATTAAAAAAAAAAATTTGTGTGTAAAAACATTTAAATGCACTAAATATAATGCAACATTAAAAACATGGGGAAATGGGGAAAAGTAGTTCGTGACAAATGTTTAAAAAGTGCAAGTACATTTCTTTCATTTTGAAGGATCTGTAGCGAATGGACCCAAAGTTGATTGCCCACCCATTGTGCTCATTAGAAGCGGAACCCTTTATAGACTTTAGCAAGGTCTTCACTCTGATTGGTGGAAATGATGAACTCCTGTGAAGTCGAAAGCTTGTGATTTTGTCCCGTGCAGTGGGTCTGTATATAATATGTTTGATCCATGCACATAATATCTGATCTACAATACTGTGGTGTTGATTCTCCACTAATGACCGCATAGTATTACAGTATATCACAAAATATGCAGTCACAATATGTTGTTATAAAATAATGCATATGTTGAACAGTAGCACATGGATTGTGATATGCATCATATTGTGAGCTGTCTCAGCTCTAATTTTCACCACTTGCCAGATTTTTCCTCTTTCATTGTGGCTGCTCCGACAGTATTGTTTGCCAAAGGAGAGGATGCAGAGATATCTCATCATGGGCCAGAGGTAGAGAACTGGCCTAGGTTTGGAATATTCTGCTGGTTTGACTTTGCTTGAGTCCTGTTCATGAATATTGCATGATGAGCTGTAAAAGGTGAGTTTTGATATCATACTGGACTGCCACTGACCAATGCTCTCCATGTAAAGGTGTTCGCATGTGTGAACGGTGCAAAGGATTTCACTCTCATTTACAGATTCACTTGCGTGGACTTGCCTGTTTCTTACCATTATGATGCGTGAGCTATTTAAATGTCACTGGAAGTGCAACAGAACATTGGAATTTCAAAAGCTGACATTTGAAATGAAGCGTATGTGTTTGTGGTGGCATTAATGCTGTTGTTGTTGTTGTTTTCAAAAGCATCATGAATGACACCCTAACATGCCATTGACATCTGGAACATATTTCTGTATCAGTATGAGTGTAAAGGTCTCACACGCGCCTCCATGAATTCGTTCGTATTTTCCAAGTTACACCCAATGCAATGATGGAAAGACCAGCTTTAGGTATATTATGTGAATTCCCATATTGGTGCAACTGGTGGACTAGTGAAAAAATGCTGGTCATTGTGCGTCATTAGATCCAGACCAGATCAGTTTACCTAAAAGTTTTAATTCTGTTATCATTTCCTCATGTTGTTCCAAACTTTGACTTACTTTTTTGTGAAATGCATAAGAAGTTTGAATAATGTTCTGTTTGTTATTTTCAATGCAATTGCAATGAAAGGTGACTGAATCTTGAAGCTTTGGGAAAAAAAAAAAAATGCAAAAGCACCATAAATAATATACGACACATGCACTATATTACGGCTTCGGATGCAGTATGATGGCTTGATGAACAGACTGAAGTCATCACTGATAATCTTCCACTCCAGTGAGCTGTTAACCACTGCAAACAGATCTTTGAGTCAGTGAGCCTGTCAGTTTTCTACTGTCCTCTGTTTTCTTCAAAAATAAATAAAATATCTGACTGAAATGATTATTTATATATGAATCAGACATCATTACTTCGCAAGTATTTTCAATGAAGTCAAGATTTTCAGTGAATAATGAGTTAAATTTTGGTCTGGTTCTCTAGCGATCATATGGCTTCAAAGACTTGACTTCAAAGACAATGAAGTTGTATGGACCACCTGTATGATTCTTTTATGGTGCTTTTCTTGTTATTGTTTTGGAGGAAGGTTTTTTTTTAAATTTTTTATATAGCTTTGGAATGACATGAATGGGAGTAAATCATGACAGACTTCTCATTTTTTGGGTATACTCTTATAAATAAAGGTTCTTTTTTTGGCATTTATTATTCCATTAATTACCTTTAACATCCATGGAACCTTTCCATTGTACAAAAGGTTCATTTTAGTTGAAAAAGTTAGTTCTTTACACTAAGAAAAAAATGGTTCTTTTAAGATCTGTCCACTGAAAGGTTCTTTGGGAACTCAAAATGGTTCTTCTATGGAATCCCTATGAAAATCCCCTTTTAGAACCTTTATTTTTAAGAGTGTAAACAATCACCTAAAGCTATTTCAGCAGTCTGGTAGGGGCCTACAGTATGCTGGTCTATTCAACAGGATATGCATCCATGTATTCAAAACTGCTGTTCAGTAATCTACAGCACCTGTCACAGCCCTTACATTCACATCCATTCCCATACTTTTATTTGTTCTCTTTTTTACGTTCTGCTTTTGTCTTTATGACCATGTTCATCATCCCCCATCCATTACATGCCTCTCTTGTTCTTCTCTCCCTCCTGCAGTGTGGCCGGGATGCAGAGAACTTTGACCGCTTTTTCACACGCCATCCACCGGTTCTCACCCCTCCAGACCAGGAGGTGATCATGAACCTCGACCAAGACGAGTTTGAGGCCTTTTCCTTCATAAACCCCGAATACCCTGCCATGGAAGCCCAGAGTTAAGGGCGACCCTCTAAAACTAACCCAACCCTCCATCAAACCCCCTCTTCATCACACCTCCTTATGTTTATGTATCATACACTCCTTAAAACGGGCGTGTGTATGTATATAAACAGCCATGCACTGAAACTAAACCATCTATATACATATGCATGCGAAACTTCGATATTCGTAGATTAGCCTGAAGGTCGCTGCGGCTTTCACGACATCCCATTGAGTGTATCCATGCTGGAGGAACGTTCGAATCTAAAGGCTGTCTTTATACTATTTGTACTCTACAGCTTTCCTGAATGTGGTGTGTATTGCATAGCTCTCTTTTTTACCTGTCCTCAGATATGTGTGTTTCTGGCACCTTCGGTGTTCAGATTCAGCCATTTGCACTAAAGGTGCATGAATCGCATACGACATGCATAATGGCTAGCCTCGCTCTCCTTATCCAGCCTGTGACCGTGATATTCTGCTAATTTTATAGTCAAACCATTTTGCCTGTTTCAAAAAGAATGCAAACTCAAAAGGTTTTTGCATGACGATTTTGTTTTGCCCGAACTTTTATGCTACAAATGTCGTTAGTTAGCTCTGTAGTGAACCTTAGTCTTGTTATAATCTCTGACTTGCATTGTACAGACAAGTACATAACAGAAATTGACCAAAGTTTTTCTTTCTTTTTTTTGGAAGCATGAGTAAATCTGACTTTTTAGGATGCCTGTATCCTGTTTGCGTGTATGTATGGGCCAATAGAGCTTAATGGATGTGCCTGATTGTGGTAGTGATCTGCTTTTTTTGCCTGATCATCTCACACCATCAGCAAACACTCACCCATGTGCAGGAAGCATGGCTCCTGTGATGGTTCCCGTTGACTCTTCCTTGTTTAACACTTGACTTCTGCTTAAAGGTCAGCCGGATTTTATCGAGAGGTATTTGACAGGCACATTAAATATCAACTACCTCCTGCTTGAGACAATTACAGATTGAGACAGGATGAGAGAACAAGTGCTAATATCAGAAACGAGCTAGTGTTGTAGCCAATAACCTTTAAAAGACCCATCGGCCATATATTACTGACCTCTGTGTTAGATATGCATCTTTTTAATGGGTACGATCAGGAATCACCAAGAACCATTTTTCAACATCATTGGGGTTTACGATGACAAAGAGATGAGTAGTCACCCATTGGTAATATCTTAAAATTATACCCTGGATTTCACTGAAGAGCTTGTGTATGAGCAAATTAGTCTAGTTGGGATGCATTGATACAGCTTCACTTAGCTTGAATGATTCCATCTCGAAGCTTGTCAACAGAGACCCGCCGCATTATATTATGCTGAAACTTGGTACGTGAAAACCCTGAAAGAATACCACAGCGTTTGTGTGGAACACAATATTGCGCTTCAAAGGCGAAGAGAAGAACAGGATATAAAGACAACGCATAATTTGCAGCACAATTAGACGGTGTAGCTTTGGAAATAAAACATTTCAAGCGTGTAAACATTGCTCATAAGTGACAATAGGGGTCCGTTGAAGCTATCTGTTGTTGTGTTAATGGGTATACCATGGGCTGGTCAGTGCTTTAATACGGTGTCCTATTTTAGCATGCTGACGACTCAGGTACGACAGTAGATCTAGAAACGTGAGCACTGTTTATGTCGGTGGTAACAGCAGCGAAGTCCCTGTGTGGAACAGATACCGTATCACTAAATGGAACTGGAAAGGCCACAAGAGCCACACATCTACAGAAACGGGTCAGATCCTCAGACATCAGAGCTCCCTGAGCGGTTATCCGTGCTGACTAGCGGCCAGTGGCTTTTATTGGAAACCACTGGGGCTTCATATCATATCTTCATCATAGGATGTCAGGGAAGGGATAACCTCTCTAAAACGGCTTCTCGTATGAGGTTTCCAGATATGTTGTAGAAAAATGTTGTTTGCGGGATAAGACACTTTTGGTTAAAACAAAAACAAAAAATGTTGTGCATCTGGCGCCAAAAATATAGCAAGCAGTTTAGTGTAGGGCTTTGATATTTTTTTAAGTGTCTTAAAATAATCTAAGCAAATAAAATGTGTCAAATGTTCTTAAATGTTATGAATTCTGTGTGGTCAGTATTGTAGATAAAAATAAAAGTAAAAGGGGATTTTTGTGTTTTCTATACCATAAAATGTGCATAGAAGCTTTGTGCATGAATTACAGAGAACTAGCCTAGTGTTTTAGTGTGTGCTCTTGACCTTTCTGTGTGCTTTGCTTCATACATCCTCAATGCTTTTCTTGTGCCAAAGTATTTTCCACAAAAAAAAAATACAAGTATGCATTTAAATAAAACTGAAACATCAATAGCATTTGTTTGGTTTTGCATTGTTTCCCTCATTGAGTGTATATAACCGTGAAATTCAAGCATACCTGTAAATATGAACTCTGGAAACACAAAAGACGGTTTTCTATTCTAAGACCCTGATGTGACATTTAATAGGGGTTATGCGCAACAGACTTCCGTATTCTGTTAACTGGGTCTCGTCGCTTCCGGTTCAAGCGTTTTGCATATGCTTAGTTAAATATGAAGCCGTTTTACTCAAGATGCCTTCAAAGTAGATACCAATGATGATCATAACCAATTTCCATCACATATGCGGACTGATATCTAAAAGTTTTTTTTATTTTTATTCTTTTCACATTTAGATATAAAAATTGAATAAAACGTCAACAATAAAAACAGCTAGCTAGTTTAACTTATTATCTTAAAAGTCCATAGATATCGCTATTATTTAATACGGCTGTTAACACATTCTCCGACAAGCGGAAGCAATGAGACCTGTTTTCCGGGTTTGGTCAGGTGATGTTCGACATATACCCTATTCGATCACTTAAAGCATTATTTGTATGTTTCTGAACCGCATGGCAGAGGAAGTCTTGTCAATTTGCTCAGAGCATCGCTGACGATGTGCAGCACGTTAAGCTCTGCATATTTCATGCCTGCCACTTAACATGAGAACATTTCAGCCTGTTCCACCACCATTCAGCCAATGACATATAGGAAGAACATACATGGGGTGGGTGAAAATTAGAGAGACACTTTATATGCCGTATTAAACATGCTGCGAACATTGGCCTGCTTTTGTAAGTAGCGCCGTCAAAATCAGCATGGGGGTCTCAGAGATCTTTCAAACTTGTTTTTACATATATGCGGTACACAGTTGAGTCTGGCGCTCCGCACAAGAGTATTAATTAATTCTGAATGTCGCAGCCTCAAATTAAATGAGTCGGTTAGCACAAAGTGTGTGCGGCTTATCAGCTGAAAACAGGTCAGCGTTTGATACTGCTGTTCTCTTCTTGCGCTGACATCAGCTCGCCGCTAATCCGCTCCTTTATAGAAAGCTCTACCTTAGTATTGCACAAAATGACAGAATCACGACTGGAATTAAAGCCTGGCAAAATGAACACCTTGGATTTAAAGCGGGGTGTCTCTCTCTTTTCTCTCCTTCCCGAGAGCTTTTTTTTTTAAATTATTATTATTATCGTTCCCTTCTGGGATTTTGGTACAGCATGCATCTCGAACCCTATCTCTGCTATATATCTGTATGAAACCACAGGCGATAAATTCAGATGGGCTCTGCTGCGGTACAAACGTCTCATCCTGGTATTCTCAATGTGCTGAAGTCCTTTGTCTTATACAGTGGGTACGGAAAGTATTCAGACCCCCTTAAATTTTTCACTCTTTGTTATTCGATAATTAAATCTCTAATAAACCATGAATCGGTTAGTCGTGATTGGCAATGCTTCGGCTCGCCAAATGGTTTGGATCAGAGTAATCAATGCGAGAGAGAAAATAATGAAGGATTGTGAAAGTCTGACAGTGTTGAGCACTACTGTAAGGTTAACCCTGCATGGTGTAAATGTTTGAAAATGATTAACAGTTGCAAATAAACATTCATTAGAAATTTAGAAAAGTAATCAAAAAGTAATCAAAAGTAATCAGTTACATTACTTTAATAAAGTAATTGAAAAAGTTACACTACTATTACATTTTAAATAGGGTAACTTGTAATCTGTAACCTATTACATTTCCAAAGTAACCTTCCCAACACTGTTGATTTGTTATATCCATTCTGATGTTAACAGTTTACACATTTTTTCAGTTCCTGGTACCCAGCACTACACCTGTGCCAACATACCTCCAAAGGTCAATTGCCAATTTAGGTATCTAAATGTGGATTTATGAGTGATGCTAATTGTAATGTCATATTTTAGCACTTTGAAGACTGTGACATAAGTGAAAATATTTTGAATTTGGATTTTTCAAACTTGACCGTTTTAAATTACAAATTATATTATCAGCATAAGAGATCACTTATTTTATTAATGACCTAAGAATAGTGCCAAAACATTTTTTTCTTATGCAAGTTAATATATTATATATGTACATTTTACTATAATATTTTATTATATTTTTATATTAATAATGCATTTAAGTTTTAAAATTCTGAAACTTTTATTTCTAGATTTAATTTTTAATTTGTTTTTGTTTATTTATTTATTTATTGTTTCACAGTTCTAAAACTGTTATTTCCTGATTTAAATTTTGAATTTAAATATTTTTCTATTTTATTATAATTAGAATTGTTTAAAATTGTTATATTATTAATTCATATATTTATTATTTTTACATTTTTAAAATTCAGAAACTTTTTATTTATTTCTAGAGTTAAATTAAATTTGGCATCCCAGGCTTGAGGGCTGTCAGACTTTTGGACCCCACTGTATCTTAAAGTGTATCACACTTTTACATGGATCCGTGCAACAATGGGCAGATTTATAGGCTCATTAACTCTGTTGGATAATTACTAGAATTAAAACTAGTCATTCTGCATTGACCTACAGTCCTGAGGTTTCCATGCCAATGCCCAGTGCCATTTTTCTCTGAACTGTTTGGCTCTTGAGAGCCCAGGTAATCTAGTGGCCATCACTCTGGAGTTGTGGCTTGTGTGCTTCGCTGTGCTGTGGTGTGCTTGAACCAGCAGATGGACATAAGGTAGGAAATGTGCTTCTGTTGTTGTATTATATATCTTCCTCCTGTCTACTGTATTCTTCCTGTCTGGAGTTGTTTTTATCCATGTGTGGGGTGCCAGGAGATCTCAAACGCTCTTCTGGATCGTCTCTCTCCCCCAGTTTTCTCTTGTTTAATGTGATCTGCATACAAATATTTGGAGTCATGTGTCTGCTCTGCATCTGTGATCCTGGTCGTTTGTAAATTCTTTTCACTGTGCTTTGACAGCACTCTCATCCCTCTCTGTCTTGCTCACCTGAAAGTGACTTGTCCCTGTTCTTTGTCATTTTAAGGTGCTGTGTTCATTGCCTTGAAAAAAGAGACCACACTGCCTTGTCGTTTTTGGTTTATTGTCTTCAAAACGTGCTGAATGTTTCTTTAATACCGAGCGTTTGCTGCCTAAAACAACTCTGCACTTCCCACAATTCCCTCAGGCCCATCATTGACCAGAAAGC